GAGGGTTTATTGTTGTATGTATGGTACATTAAAAGCTGTGAGGTTATTGACAGCACGTGCTATAACTAGTTGTTCTTTATGTTTCGCTAGTGGCCGAGGAAGGCGATCCCCTGTGTCGCTTCCTGTTTTATGAAGCCGGAAATGCTTTAGCCAAGCACGTTATGGCTCTTATACCGAAAATTCACCACGTAAGTTTCCTGTAAATCTATAACTCTAGTCGCTGGTGCTTCTACAACATTAATACTTTATAATTCCCTCACCCACGCCTCTTGTAGATATCTCAAACCGATATATTTTACCCAACACTAGGGCTAGTAGTGATCTGTATATATCTTCGTGAACAACGACTGTTAGGGTGTTAACTAGATTAAGTAAGTTATTACTACAAGGAGCAGTAACTGGATAACGTTTTGTCTCTAATTAGTTTTGCTTTTGTGTTGTTCTTTTACTATTATATTACTATACGTACTGTGTTTCTATAAGTAAATATGAATCGCAAAAAACATTTGAAGAAAAAGTTAATTCCAAACACATTTTCTTTCTGTTTCGATATTTTAGGTTGTTGTGCTAATTGCAGTGACGCCAAACGCGGTAGTAGTATGTGTATACAAAAGTGCCGGCACAACACTCGGAGAGAAAAAAACAACTCATTTGGAGGCTTGGTTGAATCCAGGCCGCAGTATTGGGTCACGTGAGCGCAAGTGAAAGGGGCCATGGGTGGCAGCAATGAGGAGTATCTTGCAGTGAAACCTACTATTTGTTCAGGAAAGTGGGCGGGCCAGCCAATCGTAAACTCGAGTTTCACACACCCGTAGCTTATGTAGGACGCGTGTGCTAGAGCAAGAATATTTTTTTTTATAGATTATACAGCTGTCGTGCCATCTGTTGGCGAAATTTATTACTTTATATTTTTCAACACGTTATTTATTTATTAAAACAAAGTTCTTGTACAAAGTAAGATAGATGCTCGTATTTCAGAATCTCTTTTCGATCAGTTATGTAGTTCTAGAAAATAATATAGATCCTGAACTGGAACGATGTGTCAACAAGCAAAATGTATACTCTTAATTTTGGAACTTCAAATTACGATGTATGCATTTATCCTAAAATTTGACTCAGAAGTGTATTTTGACTTTTTTATACTTAAAACTTTGCAATATACATTAATAATGACTATTCTAGAGCTAAAAAATGTGTGGTTGAATTTTTTTTTTTGTAAGTGGTGTGAAGGCATAAAAGTGGCATGGAAAATATGAAATCCTAGTAGTTTCGAGCTCATCATCAGAGGGCGTGAGTAGACAGACTGGAGAATGTTAATAATTAGAGTATTATTTATTCTTGATTTAACGAGGAGGTTGCCTTAGACCCGGGCGTTGCCCAGAATAAATAGTTTACTTTCTGCTAATATCACTAGATAGACAAAAAGAGAAAAAAACAACAACCAGTAATTGTCATGGCCTACTTAACTTAATATTACTCACACTTAACTTGCTTAGATAGTCACCTTTTTACGTATGTATAATTATCTTGCTTTGTGGTTTTTCCATCAGAAAAATGAAATTATGAAGTAACTATCCAACATGTTCACCATGACTTCATCTATTCGTGCTCTTGATATGTGAAAAATTGATCATACTTCACTAAGTTTTCCATGACTTGTTGCAACCCATTTAAAGATTGAGAACTTTGGTATACAAATAAAGCTTGTGAAATAAATATAGCCTATCGCTAGTTGTATTTGTAATAATTCTCTCATCTTAATCAGCTGTGTTTTAATATACAATATCTGTAAAAAAAAAGTCTACTGTGATACAATGTCATAATGTACAAATAATGTACATGATTATTTGAATTTACAATAACATGATCTTTGATATGAAAGCTTAAATAGAAAAGTTAATGTTTAAAATGTAGTTAATGGAACTAAGTTTGTTCTTAGAGCTGGGATAGTCCAAATCTTGTATTAATGTACTGCCAAATGTGTATGTGGCCATAGAACGAAATGTTGGATTTAGTTTTTTCCAATGAGAATTTTTAAATACCTGTTTACACTTAGTGTATTCAAAGTTGGTCATTGCCCTAGCACTTTACTTCAGAGATTGACTGTGACTTTTATCTCTGTTATGGATTATTGGTTTAATTTCTTTTGTGATTCTTCAGCTGCACATAAAATAATGTAGGAAACAATGAACAGGGAAATGATCTACTTTTGCATTTTACTCATAAATTTTTCAAAGTCTTTGCTCTCTTTTTTCCTGTACACAGGACACTTTCTAGGATTACTTCAGTGTATAGTACCAATATTTAAAGCTTTTCCCTCACAAACAATTTTTTTTAAACTTTTAAATAAATGTTTTCTCTGTCTGATCCATAAATACAAACCAGATGTTTTGCACATGTCTAAATTTGGTTCTGGGAGGTTTCATATTCCTAATATTCAATATAGAAAATCCTTCTATGCAGCACTATCAGAACAGTATTAAATATCACACTGTACATTTTAAACAAGTGTGAAAGTCCCTGCTTCTCATTTATTGAGATAAAAAAAATCTTGTTCTGTATGACCTGGTAAGTTGCCTTGTTGTTTATCTAGAGTGTATATTCATTAAAATTTCTTTCTTTCTAGAACCTATTAGAAAGTGAAGGGGGCCTTCCGATTGTTTGTGTTGGTTCTGTTTTCAAAAGTTGGGAGTTACTTAAAGATGGTAAGTTTTCATTTCTAATGAAAATACAGTTTTTGTTTTTGTTTTTTTTAATGGTCACTTGTTTATTAAAAATAACTGATGTGTAACTTGGCAGAGGAAAGGAGGTTAATAAATGTATGACTTTCTGGTTACAGCTCCCTCAAAAGATTATTACAGACAACAAATTAAATTAAAATAATAGTATTTCAGATCTGGGAAGCCTTTTCTTCAATACCAGAACTTCCCAGTTAGGCCTATGGTAGTCAAAGGTCTTACTAAATGTTATTTGTATATAAAATAACAAACTTGCTTCTTTTATGTAATAATAATAATAGAGATGCAAAATTTAACAATAATTTAACCAGCACCAAGACAAGCTTGCCTACAGAATTGAATGTCATCTTTAACCGCACAAAGAAAAGCTTGCCTACAGAATTGAATGTCATCTTTAACTGCACAAAGACAAGCTTGTCTACTGAATTGAATGTCATCCTTAACTGCACAAAGACAAGCTTGTCTACTGAATTGAATGTCATCCTTAACCGCACAAAGACAGCTTGTCTACTGAATTGAATGTCATCCTTAACCGCACAAAGACAAGCTTGCCTACTGAATTGAATGTCATCTTTAACCAGCAACAAGACACGCTTGCCTACTGAATTAAATGTCATCCTTAACCGCACAAAGACAAGCTTGCCTACTGAATTGAATGTCATCTTTAACCAGCACCAAGACAAGCTTGCCTACTGAATTGAATGTCATCTTTAACCAGCACCAAGACAAGCTTGCCTACTGAATGCAAACCCAAGCATTTTAACACTGACCTTCAACCCATTGTGTTCCACCCAGTGGCACAGCGGTATGTCTGCAGACTTACAATGCTAGAAACTTGGTTTTGATACCTGTGGTGGACAGAGCACAAATATCCCATTGTGTTGCTTTGTTCTTAATTTCAAACAAACAAACAAACAACCCATTGCATTAAATCATATTCCCAGTTAAAAAAAATAACAACAATTGTTTGCTCTTTTCTAATATTATAAGTTGACATTAAAGATTTTGATGTAACACTTAAACAAAATCCCAAAGATGATCCATTTCACCATGTAACTGAACAAGTTTCTTCTGTTTAATGTTTTATCTGTCCCCTGGTAACAAAATATTAGTGTTATACACTTAACGTATGAAGTCTGAGAATCATCTTCTGACTTGCATAAAAAAAACAACTCCGTAAATGGTATTTGTTTTTGTATCGGTGACCATAAATCTTCCTGGATAACATTTTTTATTGAAACATTTTGTTGTTCTTGCTGTTCGGCATGATGAAACTGGCTTGTTGGTTTTCTCAGGTTTCCACGGAGCTTTGGACTCTAAACTTCACGAATTTTCTCTTCTCCGTTTGAAAACCTCATCAGCAATTGGAGCTGCTTTCATGGGAGCCAAAGCTGTTGGTGTGAAACTTCCACTGAATTTTAGTGAAAATTTTTATAAACTTCATCATTTCAAATGTTGAAACATTTTAAATTGGATGTTGTACATAGTGAAAAATTGTATGCTGTTTTTAACTTTGATTTTCTTACAAGGAATGAAGAGAAGTAAATAGAATTCTTAGATAGATCACATCCAGTATGCTTATAAAGGTACAAATCGGGTAAATTGATTAGCTGAAAATAATTGGTGGTAACTCCCACACCACATATGTTTTTAATGAAATCTGAAAGATGATTACCATAGTATCAACAATTGACCATAATTTCACAAGAATCCTTTTGTTGCTTAAAATAAGCAAATATTTCTTTCTAATTTCCATATTCATTCCTTTAAACTTGGGCATAACTTTGTTATTTGTATTAAATATATATAACCAGGATTTAATAAATATATTCCATTTTTTTCTTTTGTGTTGTGATGTTGGAACAGTTTGTATTGCCATGTCTGACTGTATGTATCTTCTGAAATTAAGAAATCTATAAAAAGATATTGTAGACAAAATGTGGTGAGAAAAATGATGGAAATGAAGTTTTACTTTTAACAGACCGTTTTATTAAACAGTTTTCCAAATGCATATATGCAAGGTAATTTGATGCTTATGTTGATGTATTTATCAGACGTTTACTTGATTAGGAGAATATTAGGCTATTGGTTCCTATTGGTGGAATGCAAGCTATAAGAATATGTAAATATCAATTTTTCCAGTGGCTTGAATGTCTGGGCATCTGGTCTTGTGATCTGGATTTGTTTTATGGATAATTGGAGGTTTTCCATGGTCTTGATCAGATTTGTAGTATAATACTTAGTTTAGTTGTAAACGCAGCCAATAACTGCTTGTAATACACACGCTACAGTAGTTAAACTTCCTACGTAGGAATTTCTTAAGTTTCTTATACTAAAACATGTATTATTCTACAAACATGTTATTTCTTTCTATTTTAAGTTATTTTTTCAATGGCATACTGTTTCTCGAATTGGAAGAAAAAGGGTCATATCTGTTTTTATGATTGAATGTTTCAAAATGTATAGAAACTTGGTGTATTTTTATAGATTTTGAATATCTTAAATCTGTTTTATAACAACTTCAAGAACACCTTTAAACATTGAAACTCTTGAATGAAGTTTGAACATTGTTATTTGACTGTAAATAAGTGTGTAATGTAAGGTGTTGGTATGAATTAACTACCACAAAGAATACAATAAGTATTTCTATACCTAAAGTTGAATGTCAAATGTGAGTGAGGATAATGTATCGGTAGAGATCTTTATTTTTTTGAATAAACGTGATATTTGGGGTTAATCTTGTATAAACACTTGGTTAAAATGTATTATTCTTGAGCTGAGTTTACACAGTAAATTGATGATGTCACTTTTTCTGTTGTTGTTCTTTATGCTGAGTGTTATAAGAATAAAAAATATAGAACTATTGTAATTCATGGACCCTATCAGCAGTGAATGGTATGAAAATGGATGAGTTATGTAGAACACTTACTACTTGTAGTAAGTATAGGTGTTGATATCCGTTTACATACAGCACAGATAGCTTATTGTGTATCTTTGTTTTTAACTAGAAACAAACACTTGCTACCTGTATTAAGTATAGGTGTTGATATCCATTTACATACAGCACAGACAGCTTATTGTGTATCTTTGTTTTCAACTAGAAACAAACATTTGATACCTGTAGTAAGTATAGGTGTTGATATCCATTTACATACAGCACAGACAGCTTATTGTGTATCTTTGTTTTCAACTAGAAACAAACACTTGCTACCTGTAGTAAGTATAGGTTTTGATATCCATTTACATACAGCACAGATAGCTTATCGTGTATCTTTGTTTTTAACTAGAAACAAACACTTGCTACCTGTAGTAAGTATAGGTTTTGATAGCCGTTTAGACACAGCACAGATAGCTTATTGTGTATCTTTAGAAACAAACACTTGCTACCTGTAGTAAGTATAGGTTTTGATATCCGTTTAGACACAGCACAGATATCTTAT